TATCCTGCTGTTTTGGGTATCCTGCTCTGGGGCATTCTCATCACGTGTCCAAGCCATCTCATTCTTCTTTGTTTGATTTCTGTTGTTATACTCCTGCTTTTGCTTTTCTTGTGCAGGTCTCTGTTAGAGATCATGTTTGGCCAGAAGATACGGTGGATTTTTCGAAGGACAGTTGTTGTGGAATGCCTCTAATTTTCTCATGTCGCTGTCAACAACACGCCAGCATTCAGACCCATACAGGAGAACTGATTTTACATTGCTGTTGTAAAATTGCAGTTTGGTTCTCAGACTGTAGTTGTTTGACTTCCAGATGGGCTGAAGTTGGGCAAATGCTGTCCGTGATTTACTGAGTCGTGATTTTATATCTTTACCATTGCATCGTGGACTACTCCCTGAAAAATCATAGCTATTTTCTGGGACTATTCCCCTTTGAATATGTATTAGAAATTCTGACCAATCAAAGTGATCAGTGGGCGGACCGTTCAAGGAATCTTGAGTCTGTGACGTATGTCATTAGCAATGTAACTATGACGTCAAAACATGCATGTCAAAATCATACAAAATGAAGACAACGATAATAGGACTCATTCGTCATATTTATGACGTCAGGTGTGGCTGGTGTACTAGAGGTGGTTACGTAAGCGCTTTAATCACCGCGGCGCTTGTAACAATGTAAACAAATGGACGTGTTCTTCGAACTTGAAAGTTGACGGAGCTAAACCAATGGGCTGATTCGATCTTTAATCGAGCTGTCACAACCTGGAGAAAGGTTTATCGAAATCTTGGGTAATTATTTTCTGTAAAGAATATACATTTATGGAAACTTTTTAAAGAAATATCGAGTGTAATATGCCTTAACCCATATGCCTACATGACGAAGATAGTACAATGACAAAATGAAAGTATTGTTTACAATCGACATATTTGTGTTTGCACAAACACTAGATTCAAATGGAATAAGTATATGGTATGAATGCTTATGGCTATATTTTGTTATTTTTTCATTTTTACGTGACAATCATCGCACAGCTATAGGTTATGTAGGCCTACACTGGGGCAATCAGAAGTTGGACGGTTATTCGCTATTCACCATTCGAATGGCGAACCGCAGGCTGTCTCCCGGTTCGCTATTCAAATTACCGTAAATGTCCTAGTAATTTTTTTTTTCAAAAAACTTTAATTACGCATGACGAATTAATCCGTGTTTAAGAAGAAAAGCAAAGACATCACTTAAAGAAGAAGAGTGTGGACCCCAAACAAATGAAGCTAGCCTGACCAAAATGATGAATATTTAGCTAGCCCGGTCAAAATTTAAAAAAACAAGAGGCCCAAGGGCCTTGAATCGCTCTTCTGATAAATTGTACAACCTATCACTTGTATTTGAAGCCTCTAACCCTAAGTATCCTAAAACCCAAGTTGCATCAACTGATAAAAAGTTTGATGATTCTTAGCCAATTAGGACTGAAGATATTTTAATAAAGCTATATAAAAACATAAATACGTCACAGTGACCTACTTTAAGACTGAAGTTTTCTGAGGACTTAAGATGCATTAATAGACAAACTAAGATTGAAGATTCTAAGCCAATATGTATTTGAGATATTCAAAAGTAGGTCACCTTGACCTACTTTTTGGTCTACATTCTTGGAAAACCCAAGATGCATCAACTGACAAAGTTTGATGATTCTAAGCCAATAAATACCTGAGATATTCAAAAGTATGTCACTGTGACCTACTTTTTGGTCGACATTCTCTGAAAACCCAAGAGGCATAAACTAACAAAGTTTGATGATTCTAAGCCAATAAGTACCGGAGATACTTAAATATAGCCATAAAATGTCAAAAGTAGGTCATCATGACCTACTTTTTGGTCGACATTCTCCGATAACCCAAGATGCATCAAGTGACAAAGTTTGATGATTCTAAGCCGATAAGTACTGGAGATACTTAAATATAGCCATTAAATGTCAAAAGTAGGTCATCGTGACCTACATTTTGGTTGACATTTATCAGAGGCCTAAGATGCATCTGCTGACCAAGTTTGATAATTCTAAGCCAATAAATACCTGAGATATTCAAAAGTAGGTCACTTTGACCTACTTTTTGGTCGACATTCTCTGAAAACCAAAGAGGCGTAAACTAACAAAGTTTGATGATTCTAAACCGATAAGTACCAGAAATACATAAATATAGCCATTAAATCTCAAAAGTAGGTCACCGTGACCTACTTTTTGGTCGACATTCTCCGAAAACCCAAGATGCATCAACTGACAAAGTTTGATGATTCTAAGCCGATAAGTACTGGAGATACATAAATATAGCCATAAAATATTGAAAGTAGGTCACCGTGACCTAATTTTTGGTCGTCACTCTCCGAAAACCCAAGATGCATCAACTCACAAAGTTTGATGATTCTAAGCCAATAAATACCTAAGATACTGAAATATAGCCATAAAATGTTGAAAGTAGGTCAAAGTGACCTACATTTTGGTCGACATTTTTCAGAGTCCCAAGATGCATCAGCTGACCAAGTTTGATGATCATTGGTCTGAAGGTAATCAAAATATGCCTTTTAAACAATTTGAAAACAAATGCCTGCAAAATTCTAAAAGTAGGTCACAGTGACCTACTTTTAGTTAAATATGTTTTAAGGTCCCAAGATACAGCAACTTACAAGATTTGATGATTCTAACCCTCTCAGTGTCTGAAATAATGGGTTGAAATGTTTTAAAAAGGATAAGTCATAAAGTTCAAAAAGTAGGTCACGGTGACCTACTTCTAAGTTGACGTTGTTTAAGGACCCAAGATGCATTAACTGACAAAGTTTGATGATCATAGGCCTTAAAGTGTCCAAAATATGCCTTTAAATCAATTTGAAAACAAATGCCCGCAAAATTAAAGAAGTAGGTCACTGTGACCTACTTTTGAGTTAACATGATGTGAAGTCCTAAGATGCATCTACTTACAAGATTTAATGATCCTAGTCCTTATAGTAAGCAAAATATAGACATTTTCATTAAT